GATCGGAAGCAAAACACCAGTTACGACGAGCAAAGTCGATACGAATATTGAATTTTTCTAGAAAGTCTATACCTAGTACGCAAGGTAACGCGAGTGGGGTGAATAACCTTGCTGTCACGAGTTGTTCACGATTGTGGAGCTGTATTGGGATCTCCACCTGCTCCTTCACCTCCTCTAAATGTCCTGTGGCTACCATCACCGGTGTCTTTTCGATACTTTTGAACGAATAATTCTGACTACGCAATAGTTCGGCTAGTTCCGTTCCGATAAAAGTCCTACTAGAACCTGAGTCGACTAATGCTAGTACCGTGTGGCCTGCGATTTTAATTTCTACGAACGGTAATATACTCGAAGAGGATGACTTCAAGGGACTACAAAATAGGTCGAAAGATTCGGACGTCGCAATCTTGCTTCGCGATACTGGAGGCGACCGCGTCCGATTCGGCGCTCTCCTTAAGCGTTTCCCGTACACCTAGGACAAGTGTTGCACGTAACCCCATCGCGACCACAGCGATAACAAAACCTTTTACGCGTATCCTCACAGGCACTATAACGGTGGCCGGTTTTACCACAATTCCAACACGAGAAAGAAGTTGACGGGGTTTCGGTACGGTCGCGGTGTGCGTCAGCCTCGGTATCTGTGGTCGACTGCTTGGAAGCCGTCGATCGTCTAGAGTCCCTATTACTCGGACGTTTCGGTGGGTTGTCGCGACTTCCGCCTGGCGTCGATGATGCTGGTCTTTTATTATTGTTTCCATTTGAACCGCGTCTATCACGGGGCCGAGTCGAGTCGCGGGGATAATTTTTCGAATTCCCGTAACGGGACGTATCGTGAGAAGTACTAGGTTCGTCCTCCGGGACGGGATTAGGAGGCGGATTCGTTAGATCTAACGCTGCCATAGCCGATTGTGTGTGGTCACGCTTAACTTTTCCGTCACGATATGCTAAAGCCGGAAGAAGGGACTGGTCGGGCGAGGGAGGCTCACGGTACTGTCGCGAGAGAGAAAAAGTTCGTTCGACGCATTTCGCGATACTCGTTAAAGTTCGCATGTCGGTAGCATCGCGCGGTGAGATGGCTACTTGGTAACGCGGTAGGAGGTTTCGGTGTGCATAGGCAACCTGTTCCTGGTCGGTCCAGGGCGGATCTAATCGACGAAACATTGCACGGATGCACGTAAGGTAGTCCGCAATAGGTTCGTTCTTGCCTTGCGTACGTCTAGCAATTTCCTCCCGCAGGGCTACCTGAAAATCTGAATCGC